TGCCGTCCGGCTGGTGGGAGGCGGCGCGTGGGAAGGGTTCGAGGTTCCTCCTAGTGCAAAACCCGCTTGGGGAAGGAGACGCGCCGGGGCGGATCCTGCCATCGCCGTCCCTCCGAGGGGCGACGGCGGCGGTGCCCGGGGTGGCGTGGGGGAAATCCTGTCGCTGCGTCTTCTCGAGCAGAGCCCGGCCCGAGGCCCGAGGCCCTCCGCAACCCTGCCAGGGGAAACGGGACGGAGGTGCCTTCCTTCTCCGCTGGAACCGGGGACGCAGGGAACGAAGGAGGGACAACTTCGGACAGAAACAACCTACCATCCTCGTTCACCAGTTACTAACCAAGGGAGGAGGGAGAGAAAAAGTTCAACTCTTGGGTTTTTGTATCTCTGCATGTCCTCTGTTGCAGGAAATCTGCCGGTCACCGGGACGGGGACGTGGCACGGGGCAGTGGGGAGGAGGAGGGACGTGCCGTCAGCAACAGGTTGCACCAAGGAAACCCTTTTGCTTTGTGGAAGTGCCTTTAAGAAACAAGTTAACGCCGAAGGTCACCTTGAGGAGGTGGGAGCCGTTGCTTCGTCTCCAGCTGGGGAGGGTGGGAAGTGCTTGCCCCTCGGTGAGGAGGAAGGGGTCCTTAGGACAAGTCTTCCACCGGCAGCTCCTCCTCCAGGTCCCTGTCGTCGGCAATCGTCACATTCTGGTTGGTGGTGGCCATGAGAGAGACGGGCCTGCTGTCGTCTTCGGCCTCGGCTGGTTCTTCCTTCACGTGCACTGGGTGGCTACTGGGAGAGAAGGGAGCTGGGGTTTAAAGTCCAAGGAGATGCTCCGCCGAGGGACTGCACGGGCTGGCACTCGCAGCGGAAAGCCTTCGGCCTCGGGGGGCTGGTCCCGGTGGCCACGACCCCACAAACCTCTTTGCTGGGCGCCTGGGTCCCGGCGAAACCCCATCACAGGGTGGCCCAAACCCCGTGTTCCCTGCGTGGCCCCTCGCCTCGGGGACACGAGCCACCCAAGGCAGCGCGCAGCCCCCGACGCTCAAGCTCTGCAGACCCCCAAGGGCCCCCAAGCCCTTAGCGCCACCGTCCTTTTGCTCCAAACTCTC